GGCATGATGATGGCTCACTGTAGCTTAACTTCTGGGCTTCAGTGATCCTCCCATCTCAGCTTCCCAAGTATCTGGGACTACAGGCGTGTGCCACCACGCCCGGCCAAAACTGTTTTAGAAAAACATTGAAGACATGACATAATGCTGTACAAAAAATGCAAGACAAGAAAAATTCCACGTATTTTGATCCAAACTTTCTAAAGAAATATATTTTATGATTATTTATTGTGTACTACAGTATATATAATAATACTATATATTTGCACACAGGAAGAAAATGGAAAGATACACATCACCAGAGATAAGCACTATTTCAATTTCCTTCTATGCACCTTTTTGCAATAAAAAATACATAACAAACAAATATTCATTTGCCTGTGTGGGTTTAGTACACATTGCAGCAGCAGGGATGTGGACCAGGCACCCTCACGGCTCCCTCCCCCTCCACGGAACAGTGTGTCTGCAGAAACCCCAAGGCAAGAGGAGGCTAAGCATCCAAGGAAAGCCTGGGCCTGGGCCTTAACCGTAACAGGCAGTGAGTGGAATGCTCTGGATTTCAAAATATTCTCTTGTCAGCTCATCATTTTTCCATCAAGAATTCTAAAATTCCACAGAATGGTTTATACAAAAATCATGAGCCTCACTGGGCCAGGAGTAAGAAGGACTAGCAAGGAGGCGGGGAGAGGGTGACCCTGCTTCTGCGTGGGGGAGGGTTTCCAGAATTCCTGGAATATGCTGTCACCAGTAAGGGGGAAACCACACACCCGCAGCACTAGAGGGAGTATAAGAATGCATCCACTCTTCCCATTGTACAGAGGGGAAACAGAGGCCCAGAGAGGGAAAGTGACTTGTTCAAGGCCGCACAGCAAGTGTGACCAGAATTGAACCTAGAATTTATGGGCGGGACCCAGTTTCTTATTCCTTTGTGTTCTTCCCAGCTCAGTCCAGCCCAGCAGAGAACAGTCATACACTCACAGCCCAGGGTATCTAAAGCATGACCTGAGGGCATGGAGACGCTAGAATGAAAGCTAAAATCAGAAGACAAAGAAGACGGAGCAGGCCGGACTCACACCTGTAATCCCAGCACTTTGGGAGACTGAGGCGGGAGAATCCCTTGAGGCCAGAAGTTTGAGACCAGCCTGGGTAACATAGTCAAACCTTGTCTCTAAAAAAAAAAATAAAGAAAAAGAAGAAAACAAGAAGATGGGGCAGCCCTAAATAGAAAATATGGCTGTCCACGGATGCTCATGCCGCCCAGCAGTTTGCCAAACCCAGCCAGAGTCAGTTTCATCTGGAGCCTTGTAGGCTCCACCTTGCTTGTCGCCGCGGAACCATGGAAATGAGACTCAGTCATTAGGGTTTTTTAAAGGCTCCCCATACTATACTCAAGACAGATGCTTCAGGAAGAAAGTTTCTACCCACAGTCCTGACCCCCAACACCGCCTGTGGCCCAGAGAATGCCCAGTAACCTCTGGAGGCTCAGGTTGCTGGGGTTAAAGTGGGAATGAACCACAAAGCCACAGGAAGAGGGGAGGAGAGACCGTGGGACCCACAGGCTCAGCAGCGCCAGGCAGCTCCTCCATGCTGAGCCAGCAGACCCTACTTCACACCTTTCCTCACAGCCTTTCAACCACCCAACAGACAGCTCATCACTGCTCCTCCATTCATACAGAAACAAATACATAAACCTCACTGAGGAGCCTCCCGAGGAGAAATGACTCACCTCCAGCTGGGTCCCAAACGCCACTCGGAATGGTCTGCAGAGAGAAGCCTAGTGGCTTCAGAAAAGGCTGTGTGTACATCTCCACGGTGTCTGGGTGCCAAAAGCGCCCCTCGTTCTGAGGTTTCACTCTTCCTCATTTTGGGGGGCGGGTGTGGGGGAGCAGTTAAAGCAAGGTCGTTTTTTGTTATTAAGACAGGGTCTGGCTCTGTTGCCCAGGCTGGAGTGCAGTAGTGCTATCATAGGTCATTGCAGCCTCCAAATGCTGGGCTCAGGTGATCCTCCCACCTCAGACTCCCACTTAGCTAGGACTACAGGTATGCACTGCTATGCCCAACTAATTTTTTTTTAACTTTTTTTTTTTTGTAAAGACAGGGTCTCCTTACGGTAGCTGGCTGGTCTCTATCTCCTGGGCTCAGGCAATCCTCCCCCCTCAGCGTCCTAAAGTGCTGGGATTATAGGCCTGAGCCACTACGCCCAACCAAGCATCTTTTCTTTTAAGAAATTATGGTGATGGTTGGCCAGGCGCAGTGGCTCACGCCTGTAATCCCAGCACTTTGGGAGGCCGAGGCGGGCAGATCACGAGGTCAGGAGATCGAGACCATCCTGGCGAACACGGCGAAACTCCATCTCTACTAAAAACACAAAAAAATTAGCCGGGCGTGGTGGCGGGCGCCTTTAATCCCAACTTCTAGGGAGGCTGAGGCAGGAGAATGGCGTGAACCCAGGAGGCGGCGGAGCTTGCAGTGAGCGGAGATCGCGCCACTGCACTCCAGCCTGGGTGACAGAGCGAGACTCTGTCTCTAAAAATAAAAAAGCTGGCAACCTTAATTGGTCCCCAGAATTGTTTTTGAAATTTTACAGACCCGTGAAATCCCAATGTTTAGGAATCGCCCAGTTGTGCACAGGGATGTCAGGCGGGTAGGCAAGGGGAGGATGCGGGAGGAGGGGTCGTGGAGAGAGGCAGGAAGAGTGGAGTGCACCAGGACGGCTGACTGCTAGATACTACTGAGATGTGGTGAGAATCCAAACCAAGGCAGAGACGTTTGGCGTGATGTGCAAGCTCCTGGCTAGGTAGCTGGGTGGGTGGCGTGTCTGTCCCCTGGACAAGCAGGGCAGGGAGGTCTGTGAGGGGTGTGATATGTTTGGTTTGGGTCATGCTGAGCACCTGGCACAGGAGGGAGGATCTGGCCAGAAGTCTGGGCCGAGTTGAAGACATGAATCCAGAGCTCGAGACAGGCTTGGCAGGAGACACGGGTGAAAGGCAGTCCTGCTGGCATTTATTGCACCCTTGTCATGTGCCAGGCTCTGTGCTAATTGCTTCTCACCTCGTTGAAGACTCACAACCCAGCAAGGCTGGGGTTTGGGTTTTTTGAGGCAGGCATTACTATTCCCACTTGACAAATAAGCTAACTGAGTCTCAGTGAGGTACTTCCCCAGGGTCGTGCTGGTCAAGGGCAAGGGCAGCAACTATACCGAATGCTACCTGACTCCAGAGTCAGTGCTCTGCACAAAGTGGCAGGTGATGCAGTAGAAGTGGGGGGGGCCCCCAGTGGAATGTTCCAGAAAGCTGCAGAAAACAGGGCCGAGAGGGAATTCGGGGATGCCACATGGAGAAGTGAACAGGGCAAAATCTCTCCAGAAATGTGTAACCAAGGCTCTGTAACCCCAGAATGTCCCACTTGGGAGTGCTGCAGAGAGGAACAAAACAAACTCCTCCAGAATGGACAGCCAAAGAGTTTGAGAAGATAATATATAGCTGGAGGGACCGACTGCTCAGTCCTGGCTTCAGGGCACCCCCTCATGTGCAAATGCAAACCTTTGGCAGTACCTCCTCCAACAGGTGTGATTCCCATTCTTGGGGAATAAAGGAGGGAGTTAAAGGGATGTGTGAGGAGCAAGGAATAATCCCCTTGTGCCTAATGGGCTTTTCCCAGGCATTTTGCCCCATGCCCTCTTTGAAAAGGGGCTCCAGCCTGGCTCAGTGGCTCATGGCTATAAATCCCAGAGCTTTGGGAGGCCGAGGCAGGAGGATCACTAAAGGCCTGTGCAACATAGGGTGACCTCATCTCTGTAAAATATTTTTTAAAAAATTAGCCGGGCATCGTGATGCATGCCTATAGTGCTAGCTACTCAGAGGCTGAGGCAGGAGTTCAAGGCTGGAGTGAGCTACGATTACGCCACTGCACTCCGGCTTGGGCAACAGAGTGAGATCCCATCTCTAAAAAAAAAAAAAAAAAAAATGATTTTGTGGTTCCCCCAGACTCAATGTTGATGTGACAGGGAGAACTCCCATCAGGGGAGGATAAATTCAGAACTCCCACTTGAGAGAAAGCCACCAACCAC